TGACTAAGACTGCCCGCCTTATCGCAATGAAGGAGACCTGGACAATAACAGTTGGCTCAAGCTTATGTCAACCAAGTGGTAAAGTATCATGGAGTTCCGAGGGATATTGTCTTCGATAGGGACCCAAGGTTCTTGTCTCAATTTTGGAAATCCTTGCAAGCAGCTCTTGGAACTAAGCTAAGTCTCAGTACTGCTTTCCACCCAGCCACCGATGGGCAAACAGAAAGGGCTATCCAGACTATCGAAGATTTGTTGAGAGCTTGTATGTTAGATTTTCAAGGGTCTTGGGAGGACCATTTGGATTTGATCGAGTTTTCTTACAACAACAGCTATCATTCGAGTATTCGCATGGCACCCTATGAAGCTCTCTATGGACAGAAGTGTCGCAGTCCGCTTTGTTGGGAGGATCTTGTCAATCCAATAGTTTTGGGACCGCAATATTTGTTGGACACATCCGAGAAAGTTAAACAGATTCAGGAAAGGATGAAAGCAGCTCAAAATCGCCAAAAGTCTTATGCTGACTTGGTTAGAAGACAAGTAGAGTTCTCGGTTGGGGATAAGGTTTGGTTGAAAGTATCTCCCACCCGGGGAGTAATGCGGTTTGGAAAGAAAGGGAAGTTGAGCCCTAGGTTTATAGGCCCATATGAAATCCTGGAGAAGGTTGGGAGTTTGGCTTACCGTTTGGCGTTGCCTATGGAGTTGGAAAGGGTGCATAACGTGTTCCACGTATCGCAGCTCAAGAGATATGTTCACGATCCGGTTCATGTTTTACCACCAGAAGTAATACCGTTAGATGAAGATTTGTCTTACGAGGAAAGGCCGCTCAGAATTTTGGACTTCAAGACTCGGGACACCCGTAGGAAATCTGTTAAGATGGTGAAGGTTTGGTGGTCACATCATGGGGTTGAGGAAGCTACTTGGGAGCTGGAGTCATCGATGCGGGAGCGGTACCCTGAGTTGTTTGTGGAAAGTACCTCGTTTTCCTCCTTTGTGGTATACCTTGTGTGCTTGCTTGTTTTTGCTTGTTGCCTTGTTGTTTAGCTAGTTTGATAGTGGTGTTTGGAGTTAGTAGTTTAGTTCTTGGTTGTTGTCTAGAAGTTGGTGGTTGTGTTGAGGTTAGAGTTCTTGATGCTCAATCTATCCGTTTGTTGACCTCTTGCCAATCCTTGAATTTGAAATTCCTTCTCCCTTGCCTTGGGAATCCTTGTGAGTTCTTTTGGAATCGTTGATCAAAAGAGTTATTCTCGAACTTTTTGTCACAATTTCGTTTCCTTTTCACCGTTTGCTTTTAATTCGTCGTACCCAAGCTTCGGGGACGAAGCTTCTTTGAAGGGGGAGAGGATGTGACACCCCGAAAATCCACATTCAATCCATGGATTAATTGAGTATTTAATCCTATTTTTATTTGAGGAATTAATTCCTATAATCCTGATTTTTAATACTCAAGGACTAGAATTTGACAAGTCAACCTTTAAGTTGTGTTGTACCTTGTGCTTTGAGGGGAGTTCCCTTGTTCCTTACACTTTCTAAGGGTTAGTAAGGGCATTCTTGTCTTTTCACCAAGAGTTAGTATTGTAACCTAACCTAGAAGACTTCTTCATTTCATTCCCCAATTCTTAGAAAATAGTTCTACCTTCTCTCTAGAAAAGAAGTGTAGCTTATTCTCCAAGCCAAGTTGAGACCCTTGTCAAGATTCCAAGATTCAACCTTTCACCTATTTGGGCATCTAGGAGGGTAAGTTCTAAGTTCATCTTGTGTTTTTGGTTCCATCTTAGTTGTCTTTTTCTTAAAGGTAGGATCTTTATGATCTTTTGGTTTAATCTTGAAGTGGGTTTGGAAAGTAAGCCTTGTGGAGAGCTTGTTGTGGTGTAAAGTGAAGTCTTTTGGTCTTCAAGAGGTAACCCATGCTCTACAAAACCTATTTTGCTTACCTATATGTGATTTCTTGGATTCTACATGTGTTTTGCTATGAAATGTGAGGGTTTATGCATTTATCTTGTGATATTGCATATCTAGCGCTTGTGCTTAGGGTTCCTTTGTGCCATTTCTTGGCATTTTCAATTATTCAAGTCATTTTGTTGTGTTTGGTGAGATTTGGCATGTTTTGGACTTGAATTTGTGTTTGGAGAAGAAAATCCCCGAAGGGATTATTTTGCCCAGGAGTATGTACCCGCGGGCGGAACGGCGGGGAGAGCCCTACCCGCCGCGCTCCAGCAGGTACATAGACTTGTGGGTAGTGTACCCGCGGGCAGAACCACGGGTAGGGGCCTACTCGTGGGCCCACCCGCGGGGAACACGATGGTGGTTGTTCGGGATTTGTTCCCCGTGATTTGTTTGACTCGGTATTTGGTCTTTTGGCTTCCCGTTGTTCTTTTGTGGAACTATTTGAGTGTCTTCTTGATGTTTCGTACATCTAGAACTATATGGTAGGTACCCATGTAGGACTTTGGTGTCTTGAATCGTGCTAAGTGTTCAACATTGTATTTCGTTGGACCAAGAGCTGTCTTGTGTGTTCCTCGGAACTATCTTGAGTTTCCCCGTTGATAAGCATGCTAGTTTGTTATCTTAATGCTAGGGTGTTTGTGGTTTGTACCTCCCGTTTGGTTGATGATAACTTGTGTTATTCATCGTTGTTGTCGTTGGGCTGTGACCCGTTCCTTGATTGAGTATGTTTCATACCTTCGTTGTAATCCGTTGTTTGACTCTCGTGTGAGTGGTGGTGCGTGTGTGGCTCTACCTGGATTGCACGATTAGTGGTATGGGACACTAGTCACCAAGGTATTGCAGCGGTCCTCGTGGTAGCCGTGACGTGATTATGGAGTTGTGGCCTGAGCGATGGGTCCACGTTTTTGGGGGATAACATGTGTTATCCGGGCATGTGTTGCCGTGATTGGTGGTGTTCGTTGGTGGTTGTTGGTGGGGGACGACGGTCCCGGGGGAATAAGGTTGGACTAAGAAGTACAGGGGTCCTGGAGGTAATGGTTGGAAAAGAAGGTACAAGGTTGGGGGTAGCCATAAGGTTGGAACAGGGCATAAGGAAGGCATACCAACTCGTGATGGGTGATGTTGCGATGGCTTATAAAGCCGGCGTTGTGTGATCTTCTCTCGTGACGTGTGTAGTCACGGAAGCTTGTGTTGTTGTGGCATGTGTTGCCGTTGGGTGAGTCTTTATCCTTGTGTGTGGTTAACCTTTGTGGTTTGGGATGTGTTCCCGTGTTATCCTTGAGAGTGATGAGTCTTGTGTTGACAATTGATCTTGATTTTGACTAATATATATGTATTCCGTTTCGAAAATGGTTTTTATGACTTATATCTATCTATTTATGATACTTAACGGTATTGGTGGGTTACCAGCATTATTCGCTGACCGAGCATCGTCCCATGTTTACCTTTTGTATCTTTCAAGTGATGTTTAGACGAGTGCAATGTCTAGAGCCTGGTAGCTTAGCACCTTTATCTTTGCTTTTGTGCCCTGTGCGCCAATGTAGTTAGACTGATGTTTTGGGATAGATGTACACACTTGCAGATTGTTTGCCGTAGCGTTTACCGTGTTTGGTAGACGTGGCGCGACACCCCGTTGGATTTCTTTTATCCAGTTTCGTTTTTATCTTCCGCTGTGCTAGTTTTGTCGCTTAATCTGCATTTGTTAAGGCTTTTATATAGGTCTTGTTTGGGGGGTGTTACATCACCGGTGTCCAGAATTAGCAGAGTCCGCTCTACCGCTCGTGGCCAATAAGACCCCTCACATCTAATTTGTGATCGGAGAACGGAGAGGTCTTCTGGGATATGCTGCATGCAGACTTCTACGCCGGGCAGGATGCTCGTCGACAGCCTCAGGCTCTTGAGGTCAGTCGCGAGCTGCCGGTTGCGACAGCTACGGGTGGTGTCGTCACTGCCTTGCTACTTTGCTCAACTAGGCCTTATTCCCAATTTGGTTGTGGGGTTAGATACACTCGTAGTATTGAACTGCTAAGAATTTTCTAAAATGTATTTTCTACTTAGGAGGAGGTCTTTCATGCTGTAGTCTCTCCTAAAGGTTGTTCATCCACAACTATGAAAAGAGTTTTCTGGAGTTGTTTTAGTTTTTACTAGTATTTGTCCCGTGCGATGCACGGTATAAAATTTAAGTATCTTTATTAAATTAGTTGTTATATTAAAACATCACAACATACAATTAGCATATATTATAAAGCATATGTATTATTAGATACCGCATGAGATTTTAAAATTTTACATTTAAAGAATTATAAATGATTTTTTATTTTTCATGAGAAAATATAAATGATGTTATAAATTTCAAACGTGAAACTTCAAAATTAGAAGAGTATTAATACTCTTGCGCCGTGTGATGCACAGGATAAAAATTATAAGTATTGTTATTATGTTATGATAATAACAATTATTAGGTAAAAAACTTTTTAGGTAAGACATATGTTGATTTTATTTTATATATATAACATTTGTAAGATTAATTATTATAATAAATGTATAAACAAAAAACAAAAAAAAAAAAAACAAAAAACAAAAAACAAAAAAAAAAACAAAACAAATTATACTTTCTCTATACCATTTTTCCAATCATGTTTAGTATTCACTGCTAGTACTAAACTTTAAATTATTTATCCAATAATTGTTAATAAGAGATATTATTAGTTAAAAATAACTATAATATCATTTGACAGTATGCTCAATGATGTGTGTTGGACTGTCAAAAACTTATAATACCATACGTGTTACATTTTTGGAATATTCACTCATATATGTGGCTTTGTTTAATGTATTTTTAAAAGTCACTGGTTAACTGTACTCTGAAAACGGAATAAAGCAAATATTTTATGAGAAAAAAACTAATTTATAAATATAATTACATGAGTAAAAACTCAAAAAATAAATACCCTTAATTTTATTAAATAAAATAATATAAAGCAACATTTTTTGGATGCATGTTCATAATCTTTCAAATGGAAGTCCAACCCGAGTACAATTAGATCACATAATCTGGTAATAATATAAAGCAACATAATCTATCTTTATATACATAGGCCTAGTTAAAGACAATCCAAACCAACAGCCATCTGACCTAGGTATGAATATCAAGCCCAAACCCTAATCTACTCATTCCTAATGTGTCGTCTTCCTCCACCGTCGCCTCTCTCGCTTCAAGCCGAGACTCTCATCTCTTGTCCACGGTCCTCTACGTCTCCGTCGTCTGGCCTCCACCCTCGGCAACATTATGGTCAGTAACACCCTCACAACCTCTAGCCCTCCCGTCGCATCTCAGTCCTCTCGGTTTTTGCGTCCCCTACAATCCGGTCAAGCGGTAACGCACTCACAACCTCTGGCCCTACCGTCGCATCTGAGTCCTCTCGGTTTCTGCTTCGCCTCCCTCCTACGCCAACGCCCTCAGATCCATAAAACCTCCAAGGCCGAGGGTTGTGAAAACTCCATAAAAACCTTTGCTTCGTGGTTCAGGCAAACAATCTAGTCAAAATTTTCCAAAAAGGTGAAACTCTTTACATGCAGTAAGTATTATTTTGTTTTCTACAAAAATTCAAGAATTTAGATACTACTATGAAAATCCTAACTCCGTCTATTGCAGATCTATGTACCTGAAAACTAAGATAAAGAAATCGAGCTTAAAAAGACAACTGAAAAGATCAGCAGATGTTAATGAAGAATTTCCGAAGTCTGGAAAAGTCTTGAGAAAGAGAAATAAGATAGATCTGCTCATACGAAAGTAAACTCTAAATTAATACTTGTTTTACTCTACATATATGAATTTTTTTAAAAAAAAAAAAAAAAAACAAACAAAAAAAAAAAAAACATTCTGACATTACAGAATATTAAACCTTGTAGTAAAAAAATCATAATTTTCAGTCTAAAAATCATAATTTTCTATTTTAGGCATTTCAGTCAAAAAATATGTAAAACATAAATATGAAATGAGTAGGAAAAATAGTTGCGTTAATGCCCAGTATATGTCTTCCTTGTCACTGCATATTTAATTTTACACTTCAGATCATACACTTTAAATTCATGGGTTTTGGATTGACATGCAGATTGTGATAATTTCCAATTTGGTGGCTGCCTTGTTCATACCTCAATTTGGTGGTTGCCTGGATCTACATTTGCTTTGCTTCAAAACGAATAGGATTTGAGATAAAGAATAAACACAAATGATATATCCTCATCATCTACCATGGGTTTTGCAAGTGTAAAGCTTTCTGATCTCCTTATAAGTCTGTGCCTTCATCTCCACTGATGATAGTGCTCTGACTAAGGCTGTGGAATAGGTTGTAGATGTTTTCCTGACTAAGGCTGTGGAATAGGTTGTAGACGTTTTCCCTTGGCCGGCTCTGATTCGGCCGGTAACTTCCTCCCCGGCGAGGCTTCTCTTCTTGCGTCACTGCTACCCTGCACAGGTAGTTTGATGTTGTGAAGACTTATTTTTCATAATGTTGTGAAGACTTATTTATAGTGTAGTTTTATAGAAGCATTCATTTTAAAATTAATGTTTAGTTTTGAACATGTCCAATAGTCATCTTCCATTTAAATTCATTATTGAATATTTGAGGTTAGCAACTTTTGGTATTCCCCAAAAAATGAACTTTCCCATTTATTGAATATCTTATATGTAAGCAACCTTTCGTATTGCAAAAGCCCTAAACGCAGTGTTAGCTACGTTTTGTTTTGGCGGAAGTTTTTTCTTATTTTTAATTACTAAAAGTTTCTACTTTATAGGAGAGGATATATATATATATATATATATATATATATATATATATATATATATATTGCTATTACAAAAATAAAAAATAAATCAATTGAAACTAAATAATGCAACATAATAAAAAATAAAAATTTCTAGGCCAAACCTATATCATTGTTGCAGTCCATTTTCTGAAAGCCCATTTACAATTCATTTTCTCAAAGCCCATTTACAGTTTTGGAGGGAAATACTTGTAGCAAAGATTCTGCTTTATTATATATATATATAAAGAAGATAAAGATTTTTCTCATTTAGGATAAATTAAAAAGAAGAAAAAGGATGGTGAAAGGTTTCTTGTTGTGCTCAGTCCTTTTATTTCATTTTTATTTTATTTCATTTTTATTTTAGGAGATGTGTTGTTCAGTTGTATTAGAATTTGTTCTGTGCCTCCTTGGGAAAGCTATTTTCATCTTTATTTATTTAGCCTTCTTTTATTGCATTATTTGAAATATAATTGTAAAATTCAATGCAGGATGCCAACAACAATTTTCCTTGCTTGCCAACAGCTACAGAGATGAGTTGTCGGCTTCCCACCGCGTGACCGCCTCGATGAGGCGGAGAAAACTGCCGGTTCAGATCATCGGAACATTGTACGCAAGCCTGAGAAAAAAATCCATTTGAAAGAGATGCAAAACAGAGAGAAAGGGAGGAAGGATACAATAGGAAATAAAATATAAAATCTATTCCTGAGTACTCAGGAATAGGTTAATACCAGGGCGGCCCTGGTAATAGCTATTACCTTATTTGAGGTAATAGGCTATTACTAGAAATATTATTCTTGGTAATAGAAACTGTTACCAAACAAAGGAATAGGCCTATTACTGGGAATGCTATGCCATTCCCGGCCTATTCCGTGAACCAAACAGACCATTATTGTTATAATTATGCATTTAGAAATGCATGTTTTAAGAATGGATTTAACATATTATTAACTCATAGACTATGTATTAAATATCCTTCAACTTTGGATCCTTAGGTCAATTTTGGACATTATGACCTATTAAGACAGCTTGTTTGGTTTCTCATTTAATTTTGAGCATATTTTAGTCCTATATTTCACTTGGACTTTAAAACCTATTTTGAACAAGATATTTGGGACCTATCTTGGGTCATTAAAGTATGGATCCCACCATTATTGAGTGATATTTTAATAATAATTATAACTATTTTATTTTGACTTATAACATGTATATTATGATAATAATATTGATTATTGTCTAGTGATCTTATATTTTTAATGAGTTGGGGAGTAGCCACAACATCCTTAATCAGTTAAAATTATATATTAAGCAGTTTATCTTAATCACATACAGTTTTGGACATATCATTTGTGATTAATTGTATGTAATATGATGGAATTTAGCCCACAGGCAATTTCGTTATATTTGTATAGTTAATCAGGATGAAATACTGGACTACGGTCATAATTTAGCCCACAGGCAATTATGTATCGGAATGTAGTTTAGTAGTTTTACAGTGATGATAGAAATAAATCAATTTTATTTAATTTATAGTTATTTGTAAATACTTCTCATCTCTATCATAAAGTTTAATTTTATGATGTAAACTTTAGATCATATTTCTTAATTTATCCACACGGATTAAGGAAAGGAACATGATTTCTTAAGTATTTATCATAATAATTGTTGTGAATCTTATTGAGTAAAACTTTAGCCTACAGGCAAGTTTTATGTCACTTGATTTTTCAACTTATTTGATAATTGTTTCATCATAAAATTTCAGTTGGATCTAATTGAGTAAAACTTTAGCCCACAGGCAAGTTTTATGTCACTAGATTCTTCTGTCTATTTAGTAATTGAGATAAAATATTATCATAAGGGTTTAGTTGGATTTAATAGAATTAAAACTTTAGCCCACATGCAAGTTTTATGTCAATAAATCCCTCAACCCACTAGATAATAATTTTATTACAATTTCTTAGAATTTATAAATTTAGTTCAATTATAATTCTAAGTTTCATGATTTGCATTGGCAAAACATGTATTTAGTTACTTCCCAAAATTTAGCCACTTTATTAATTGAGCCACGGAACTTGCTCGGTATTCGGACTAACTGTAGTAAGTTATATGATTTGATATAACTCTATTCCAAGAATAAAATGTACCTTTTTAGCCAAATTCTAAATTGGTTTTGGAAAGTATATTTTATTATTTTAGAATGTCCAACTATGGTGGGGAGTCATGTCCTCATTAGTTATTCCTTTAGTTGGACTATAATTGGAATCATATTGAATATTTAGTATGCTCAACTAATGGTGGGGAATTATATCTTCATTAATTAGTTGGTCAAATCAATTATGAGTATGTATATCATTAATTTTGCTAAAGAATATCTTAATCAGTGGGAGTGATCATTTAAAAAAGGATCGTTAAGATACTCCATAATCAGTGGGAGTGATCATTTAGAAAAAGATCATTAAGATACTCCATTAAAGATTTTGGATTTAATTGGCTTCATACATCCCATATTGGATTGTATGTCAAGCAATAAGTCCAAAAGATTCCACGAGTATTAATCATGTATTTGTTTATAAATTCATATTGATTGTGCAACATATTTATGAAGATGTTGTAACAATATTAAAGAGTTTATTAGAACAAAACATATAACTTGTGGTGCACTTTTAAGTAATAAATTCTTCAGCATTTAATAGTATTTAGTTTCTTCAAAATTGATCCTTGGCCATTTGGTTTGTAAGGCTCAAAGACAATTTTGAGAAACATAAAAGTAAGACTCGTAATGTTCAGTTCATTTTGAGGTGGACGTTAAGATTATTTGGGAAGTTATGGTGTATGTTTGAGATTCCAAATTTATGGACTTAGACATTTGGTTTATTGTCTAAGTTGTTGGAATGCTTCTATGGCTAAACTATCTTTTGGCTATTTTGATGAGTGGGAGTAACAGACGTGTCAACTCCAAGCTCTTAGCTATTAGAGGTGGTGCTTATGTTAACTTATAAAGAAGTCATGGAATACAGTTAGCATTATGCTAACATTAAGAGATCTCTACTTAAGACATGCTTTTAAGGATCTTAGAGATCATACAGTGTACTCTTTTGTATAATTTTGATGGTTTTCTCTCTTAAGTTGCGCATATATATTTTATTTTGAGAAACTTCCCTTAAGGTACCAAGAATAAACGTTGGGTTTGTTCATAAAGGATTCAAGTTAGTGAATCAAAATGCATGTGATCATAGGAGATATTACTCACTTATTCAGTAGAGGACATATTACTATGGTTCGTGTGTTTTGTTCTTTGATGAGAGTTTGCTAGAACTTGCACCAAGTGGGAGACTGTAAGACTTTCCCGTATAATATATATTATACATTATGGGTCTTACTTATGTGGTGCAAGTGGACTAGGCCCATTAAGTAATTGGTTGGACTGGACATTTAGGTTTAAGTAGGTCCTATTCCACCAATGTGCCTATATAAAGCTTGTATTGATGGGATACAAGATATATGACTCATTATGGTACTCATACTGCTCAGAAAATACCAATACACCATCTAGGGTTCTGAGTCAAGTATGAGACAAAACGGTTAACCCTATTCTGCAGATCTATTGTTCAAGAGGCAACAGAAACAGGATATCAACCATGGCTGGAGATCTATAGTGCTTCCGCTTCCGCTACTATGAGTTAAGTTTCTCGTAGATTATTCTCTGTATAGTTAGATCATGTTTAGATCTCACACATCTAAGCATCATGATATAACCCAAATTTTTAATATGGAATAAAAAATCATAATATAGCCTCTAGTGGAATGCACGAGTGCGCTCAACAACTCAATAAGTAAGCTAGCACTTCTCTACCAAATCAAGTATAAGAAGAACTAGCCCTCACATGTAGCTAGCTAGGTTGATTCTTAGGTGATAGATTGTGGACAAGAACACATGATCAAGTATTGGCAATTGTAGTGCGGGCAAGTATGAACAAAACTAAGAATAAATATAACATAGTTGTAAACATTGTTTTATCTAATACAAAGATATTACATGCATTTATTAATTCAAGAGTTTATTCAAGAGCTAACAGGAGCGGCCTATTTGCTTTCTTGATTTGAGTCGGCCTATTTTCCTTCTTGATTTGAGTCCGTCCTATTTTCCCTTCTTGATTTGAGTCGGTTCTATTTTGCCCTCTTGATTTGAGTCGGTTCTATTTTGCCTTCTTGATTTGAGTCGGTCCTATACTCCTATTTGCCTTCTTGATTTGAGTCGGTCAACTATGAGCAACTTAGTTTGATTTACCTCCCGGTGAAGTTTCAGTCGTCACTATGAGATTTACCCCGTGTACATTCGTGGCTAGCAATTACAAGTTTCTCTCGTTATTCAAAGGAAAAAAAAAACTTTTATTCTCATATAGCACTGAATATCATGGAATTAATTAAACTATTTCGCTAAAAAGAGGGCTTGAACCTCTAACCTTGTTGGGGTTACAAGCCACACATTTTAACCAATCTTATTCTAGCTTTGTATTTCATTGTGAAGAAATTTGCATTAATCTTCAATAGTACAAAGCAAATCATTACTTGAGTTCCCTTTCCTCAGAGAAACCAGGACGATGTAGAAAAGAATGTGTGGAAAAGAGTTTTTGATCGATTTCATCTCACGAAGGCTTTTTTTCTTCAAAGCCAAATGTACCAAACCTCTACTATTTTCTCCATTAATCAATCTTAAAATAATAAGCAAGGATGTTTAGGCAATTATGGAGTTTATTGTGGCTATGCTAACAAAATTTATAGGCCAGGCAAGCCAATGAATCCTTATAGAAACGAAAAATATATAAATATTAATGAAACGAAATAAAAGAATGAAAATTAAAATAAATGAGCTACATTAATAAATATAACAAATTGTTTAAGGGATTACAAATTGTATATTCATAATTTTTCAATTGAAATGTAGCAAATTGTACACTTCATTATTTTTCCTCCTTTTACATATTCAACACAGCACCCTGTAAAAGTGCAATCTAGTGTTTTCAATTCTAAGCTTGCTCTCACTTTAATTTTCAACTCTAGACAGGCAGGCACTGCTGCCCTCCACAGCCTAGTTCGCCCATCATTTCAGTCTTTCTCCTACACATACATGAACTTGTTTCATGAATTCTGAAGAGTGAAGACGTATTTATAGTGTTAGGTTTATAGAAGCATTCATTTTACAATTAATGTTTAGTCTTCAACAGTCATCTACTCATCTTCCATTAAAATTTCATGTATTGAATATATTATTAAATGTGATATTAGAGAATAATTCTGATATAATATTTTATATTTTGTTTTATTTATTATCTGAACAACAATTAGGCAGAACTATTAGATTCTACTTTATTATAGTAGAAGAGTAGATGAGAGATAATTAGCTAGATTAGTATTGTTGCATAAAATTTAAGTATTTATTATAATACAATGTAATAGAGTCAGTAGTATTTAAAAAAAGTATTTATTATAAAAGCATTAAGAATTACATAAATTATTCTCACATTGTTAAAGTTTAAGCATTATACATAAGGTTCACAAATCTTAGGAATAATAAACAAGGTTGGGTGTAATTTTTTCCTGGGATACAAAAATAGGATGCTTTTGAAAAGTATGCATAGATAGGAAAAGAGAAATCATGGAATTCGTGTTTGATGAAGAAAAAATGGACTTCCAGAGTGCATGTTACTTTTTTTAGGAAAAAATGTTTTAAAGGTAATAAATGATGGTATTATACGTGTATGTGTATAGTACTATAACATAATGGAAATAAGGTAGTAGTATATCAATA